TAACACTTGTAATATATAAATTATAATTCTTTAATCAACTTATACACAAAAATATAAAATAATTGACTTAAATAGTTGTTTGTATTATATTACATTGTAAAGTCTTAAATGAATAAATTTGTGAAAAAACAATCAAACACAATTTAAAAATTATATTTTTTATAATTGTTGAAATTGTTAAATATAATAATGATAGACATATACAACTTATTGCCATTAAGTTGTTATTTTTGTGTAAACTTATTTTTTTATTAATTCTGTTATTATAATAGTAACAATTTATATTATTTTACAAATTCTCAAGCTAGCCTTATGGGAAAAGCCTGACATCTGGAATTGCTTTTTAATTGTTTTTATTATAAAAAATATAAATAAATCGTTTATTTTATTTCAAATTTTTCATTAGTTTCACATCAACTAGAAAAATTTTCCAAATGTCGTTTTTGATATTTTGCTATTAAGTATAGTATTGTTATCATCAATTAAACTATATTTTGAGAAACAATTTTTGAAGGTTAGCTTGAGAGATAGAATATCCATTTTCAAAGCTGTTTAATTAAATTTATTTAAAAAAAATAGAAAACCACATTTGTAGAAATAACTCGAAAGAAAATACCTTTTTAATATTTTTAATACATCTTCAACGCCCTTTTTAGTGCCGACTTGATATTATTTCTCAGTGTTATAGTTGTGACATTATCTGGTATTTTTATTGTTTTAAGATTAATACACGCAAGAAAAGCTTCGGTGTCTACAGTTTCGATTGTTTCCGGCAAATTGACATCTTTCAATGACAAACACCCTCTGAACGCGAAAGATTGAATTTCAACAAGATTCTCACCAAAATCGACATTTTTCAACTTTGAGCAGTTGTAAAAAGCTTTATACCCGATCGTTCTCAGTGCTTTTGGAAGTATAATTGAAGTCAAAGAAAGACATCCTTCAAATGCACTCTCCTGCATTTGCACGACACACAGAGGAAATGTTATTTCTTTCAGATACTTGCAGTCCTCAAACGCGTGTTCTCCAATCGATGAAACTCTCTCAGGAATGTCAATTTCATTCAAACTCAACCGCTTGAAACAGTGCGACTTGATAGAAACAACACACGTTGGTATTGCCGTGTTAAAAACAGCGTCTTTCGAGTTAAATTCAATGCGGGGGTACAGCACCTTGACATTCCTCTTTGAGAGGGATGTCGTGTAGTTAATCAAATACTGACAACTTCTTTGAGCAACTTCATCGTCGTCAAATATTTCGTCGTCCGGAGTATATAAAAATATCGTTTGGAGGTGTGGAAAGTATTTTCGTGTCTTTGGAGTCAACGAAAACGGATTGAAATGAAACTTCTCCATATTCCCTTGGAATTTACTGCACACAAATTCTAAATTTATTAAATCTTCTATACTGGGAAAGTACTTCGAAACGATCATCATGTGGAAGGCATCTATTTTAACTGGCATGTTTTATTATTTAATAGTTGTTATGTTTTTTATAGCGGACTTTTATTTTTGTGTTTTATTTGAAAAGTTTGAGTCTTGACTATTTGTATTTTATCGATGGAATTTTGAAATTTATTGGTGTTTTAAGGCTTATGATATTTATAATTATATATCAACTCAGGGCTCTCAAAATTTCAAACCCCCGTCCCCACGTGGCAAGATTCAAGAACTCGATTACATTGTGATTTCAATAAATAGCACAAATCCAAATTATTTTTAGTTATACTTCAATTTCTTTGTTAATCAAAAAACACAAAAACTAAAATAATGGCAAAAATCAAAATTTTAGCACATATTTTACAAAAATATAAAAATTTAATATCAAAGAATTTTTCTTTCAGAAATTTACCAAAGTTTATATAATTATTATTTATTATTTTATTTTATATTTGTAATAAAACATATGTTCAATAGTAAGTATTGAATAAAAATTTTTTATGTTGATTGTTAAACACAATCGAAAACATGG